CCAGTGCCTCTCCCTCCTGACCCCTGACTTCTGCCAAACATGACTCTTTTCCCACCGTTCAACTGCTTCCATCCCCCACAACCCACTCCCCACCCCAGGTCCTTCCCTCAGGGTAACACCCCCATCCTTCTGCTCCCCAGGCTCTGTTGCAAACACCCCTTCTGGCCCCTCTAGGTGGCTTATGGAACCACGGAGAACAGCCCCGTGACCTTCATGAACTTCACTGAGGACAGTGTGGAGCAGAAGGCAGAAAGTGTGGGCAGAGTCATGCCTCACACAGAGGTGGGCCCCGGACACCCCCCTCCCACCACTCACCCGGGGGCACCCCCTGCGATGTTTATTGCTTTCAATTAGAGATCCAAACAGCTCACTCCAGACACTGAGAGCCCCCAGCCACGAGGTCTTCCTGGGCCTGGCCTGGGGCTTTCTCTGTGGGCTGAGGCCTGAACTGGGAAGAGCTGGAACAGTGGCCAGCTGCCAGCTGAACTTCTCTGCAGCCTCCCTTCCTGTCTGAGGTGTGTTTTTGCCAAGCCCACTGTCTGTTTTGGGGCAGCCAGAACAGCCTCATAGAGGAGCCAGAGCACAGAGATTTTTCCTACATAGCTCTTTCTCTCCCATAGCCCTCCCCTCCCCCTCCACCTCATTTCAGCAGAGTTCCTCTTTGTGCTTGGCATAAACAGTTTCCCAAACAGCTTCTCCCTCTCGGAGTCCCTTGCATCTTGAAGACTGACCCAGAGTACCTTTCACTCAAATTCCCAGCCTCCAATGCTGGTGCTTTATGCCAGCCGGTACCTGGTTTCCCCTCCCGCCTTGTACCTTGCCCCTCTGGGATTACTGCCAATGTGCTTCCCCGGGGGCCTACCTCTCTCCTCCCTGGAGTGAGTGTGCAGTGACATCAGTCCCTCCCATGAGTCTGACGTGTTCCCATGTGTCTCCCATGTGTTTCCATGTGTCACTCACTGAGAGGCCCCACCTGTAAGGTAGACAGGGCAGGTGCAGGTCTCTCCATTTCACAGGTGCAGACAAGAGGCGCAAGGGCTAAGCTTTCCTTGCCCATTGGCAGTGGCTCATTTCTCGACCAGGCTTTCAGATTCTGCCTGTCTGCTGCCTCTCCTGTTCACGTGGCCCTGCTCTGCCACCCTCTTTGGCTTCTTTATTTACTGCTTAGTGGGAAGTAAGAGGAGACTCCCTTCCTTCTGCACAGTTTATAATTCTTTAGCTGGCCTGGCCCCCCTTCTGGCCGCCTTCTCTGAGCAGCTCCCACCCACTCTGTTTCCTCAGCACCTCCTGACTTGGGCCTCAACTGTTCTTTCATGCCCAGCTCAGGTATCCAACTGGTGACAGATCTACTCAGCCTGCGTCTCCATTCCTTGGGGATGGGCAGAGCCAAGGGGCTTCATTATAGGGGGAAGGAAGGGAAAGCTCTCCCCATTCCTGAGGCCCCCTCATCCTGAAATGAGAGGGTGGGAGGCCCCAGCCTGAAGCTGCCTGGTCCCAGGCCCAGATTGTGAACACGGAGACGGGGACACTGGCAGAGCTGAACACACCTGGAGAGCTGTGCATCCGAGGGTACTGCGTCATGCTGGGCTACTGGGGTGAGCCCCGGAAGACCGAGGAAGCAATTGGACAGGACAAGTGGTACCGGACGGGGTGAGAAGGCAGGGCAGGGTGGAGCGGTTGGTCGCCAAGGGGACGCTGGGGGTCCTGAGGCTGAGTTGGGAACACTGAACTAGAACTGGGAGAACCAGTTGTCAAGATGGCCCCTTCACATCTCGGAGACTTAGTTTCCAAAATGTACATAAAATGAGGATGATCATATTCTCCAAATAGGGCTCCTGGAAGGACCAAATGCAGTACAGATGAGAACTCCTGGGGTAGTGCCTGCAAAATCTGAGCCTAGATTCAGTCTCATCTAATTCAACAAACTCTAATTATGCACCCGCCATGTGCAAGCACTGTTGTAAACACTGGTGGTCCAGGGGAAAGCACAATGGGCAGGATCCTGCCGTCACTTCCCACATGTCTGGTGGAGGGAGACAGATACAGTCAAGATCATTTCTGACATTCATAAACACAGGTAATAAGATAGGGTCACAGGAGAGAGAGTGGCTGTGGTGGAGAAGGGAGATTCTTTTCTCTTTGGTGATCAGAGGAGGCTTCTCTCAGGTGGAAATGTTTGAGCTGAAACCTGAATGGTAAGAAGCCAGCCCCAAAAGGTGTATATATAGATACGTTTAGAGAGAGAGACAGAGAAAATATGCTATAGGTATGGGTTTACTTGGTTTGGTCTGCCTCCTGCATGAGATAGTTCCTCCTGTATGATCCAGGTAAAGTCTTGTTCATGCCATATGCCCCAGAGTCTAGAGTAGTGTAAGACATAGAGTAGGTGTTTCCTAAGGGTGTGGGAGTGAGTGAGTGAGTGAGTGAAGCCAGCCAGATGAGGCAGAGGTCAGGGGTAGCTCCTGGGCTTTCCTTACAGAGACATTGCCACGATGGATGAGCAGGGCTTCTGCAAGATTGTGGGCCGCTCTAAAGATATGATCATCCGTGGCGGCGAGAATATCTACCCCGCCGAGCTCGAGGACTTCTTTCAAACACACCCACAGGTTCAGGAAGTGCAGGTGAGGCACCCAGCCCAGGTAGAGCCCAAGAGCAGGGGACACAGATGGGGATGTCTGATATCTGTCTCTGCCCCTGGAAGGTGGTGGGAGTGAAGGATGACCGAATGGGGGAGGAAATCTGTGCCTGCATTCGGCTCAAGAAAGGGGAGAAGACCACGGCAGAGGAGATCAAGGCTTTCTGCAAGGGGAAGGTGGGAGCCTCAATTCACCCCAAGCATCGCCACGTTGCTCAGTTCTCTAATACTCTCTGCCTGCCAGCCTATCAGCCCACTGCCCACTGTGACCCTGCCCGGCCTCATGCTTTAATCCCCCTCTGGCCTGCAGATCTCCCACTTCAAGATTCCCCGGTACATCGTTTTTGTCACAAACTACCCCCTCACCGTCTCAGGAAAGGTATGTAAAGAGACCAGGGAGGGGCAGGGAAGTCGGAGCCCAGGTGCAGAAGGTCGGGTGGCCCTGCCTGAGCCTCCCTGCGTGATGAGCCAGAGTCTGCCGAGAGGCTGGCCGTTGGGTCACACGTTTGTCAGCTCCTGCTGGTTTGCCCAACTTTCCTGGCTTTAGCCTGAGAAACTCCTCAGTCCCAGGCAAACCAGCAGGGCTTGGACACCCTAGCTAGCCTGCCTAATTCTCACTTCTTTCACTTTCCTCTAGATCCAGAAATTCAAACTTCGGGAGCAGATGGAGCAACATCTAAACCTGTGAATAGACGAAGGGAGAAGATCCTTCCTCCCTGCCCTTCTCCCCCATGCCCCATGTCTGCTTTGTGATCTGGCATAAAGAGCTTCTCTGTTTACCCTGGCTGGTCTCTTGCTGCTGTGCTGTCTTTGCAGCTGCTACAGGATGGAGAAGGGAAGAGGCCAAAGCACTTTAAACCTCCTACTCCTTGTCAATGACGGTGCTAAGCACTTAGGCATGCATTATCTACTTCATTTAATCCTCACAAGATCCCTTTGAGATATCAACACAATTAGGGTGTTATCTAACATAATTAGATATCAACACACATTTCTTTTTCACATTGTTTCCAGATTAGTGCAGCAAGAAGTAATTTTTTTAAATAGCTTTATTGAGTTATAATTCACATACTACCCAATTCACCCATTTAAAGTGTTACTTTCAATGGTTTTTAGTATATTCACAGATGTGTGCACTGATCAACAAAGTCAACAGAAAAAATGTTCATCACCTCTTAAAAATAAACTCTGTACCCTTTAACTATCATACAACATCCCTCTACTCCCCCATCCCTCCCAACCAAACCAATTTTGATCTTTTTTCTTAATCAGTGAAACCAGAGCTTCCTTGATGGGCAGTTAAAGCAGGATAAGGCAAGCTGTAGCTTGATCTAAGAAATAAAAAACAGCTAAGCATATGGATTTCTAGTTCAGAGACAGAAGGAAAAGTTCCTTCTGCTTGCAAGCCTTATCTCCCAGTGTTTGCTCCCAGCAGCAGCAGCCTCATCTTCACTTTGTAGAAAACGAACATAAATTTAGGGTGTTCTGAGTGCCAGTCACTATATACATTCAGACACATCCATATCCGGTTGTATCCATATCCAGATACATCCAACGTTTCCTGTTGAAATCTTCCCAAGAACACAGTCAAGCAGGCATTAGCCCCATTTCACAAAGGATGAAACTGAAAACTCAGGAAGTTCAGTGTCTTGCCCAAATTTACACGGCTGGAATTAGAACCCAGCTGCCTGATTCCAAAGCCCATGATCTTTCCACTTTCTGGGACAGTTCTTCGGGATTGTCCAGCCCTTCTTCTGAACCCTATCTGTCCCACATACACCATCTCTGACTCTCCTCAAAGCAGATGCCTGGGGGTTGGCCCGACCCCGGTGACAGCCTGCGCTCCTGACCAAGCAGGGATTTTCTGCTCCTGCAGCATTCAGTCCAAGTGCGCCCTCCCCCCTGATTCCAGAGCCCTTGTAACAGACCAACCTCACAGCACGGAGCACACTGGCCTGGTATCCAGGAGGTGCTGAATTAAATCGGTTGCCTGTAGTCGCTTGTTGGTTTACCTCTCCCCTGTCTCTTGTATCTGTACTTCGCCCTCATCTTATGCATCTGGATGTCCTCAGCGCCCAAACTCAGCCAGGCACATAAAACGTGAAGAAACCTATTGAACGAACTAACAGGTCCTGGATCGATCCAGGAACTCGCTCGTGATGGGGTGCCAAAAAGTGGGGCGCTCCCCTACTACACCTCCAGCCACCAGAGAAAGGACGGCCGGGCGGCTGCAGTGAAGGCATCGGTGCCCAGCAGGTGGCGCTACGCCCCCGAGCCCTTAGCGCGGTGCTCCGTCAAAGGGCGCGGCCACGCAGCCCCGGTCCTTCCGCCCGGGCGGCCGCTCCCCCGCCCCACCCTCACCCCGCCCGGCTCTGCGCGCGCCGTAAGACCTACCCTGGGCTTGTCTCGGGCTCGCGTCCTGGCAACGGGCCGCTCAGCCATAGCGGGCGCCATGGCCCTCCCGCGGGCCCAGGCCCGCGGCTGGGTGAAGGCCGCCAAGCTGGCCCAGAGGCGCCGCCCCGCGGAGGACACGGGAGGACCCCAGAGTCCTGCGCCCGGGAGCCAGCGCGCCGCGCTTTACGTCCACGTGAGTGGGGAGGGGAGGCGGAGTCGCGGGAGCGGAAGACCGCGAGCCTCCGTGGCGCTTGTCACGCCGCGGGCCCACCTGCCGTCCTTCACCGGCCCTTGGCGAGGTCTGGGACCTGTTCCCTGCCTGGGAAAGGTCTTGGTCCGGAGAACTGAAGTCTCTGGTGCTCACAATCTCGTTGACCTTGACAAGTGATTTCCCTTCTGAACCGCAGTTTTCTCCCATTGAAGTGGGCTTACTCATCCCCTTGGAGAGTTGTGTGGATTAGATGCGGTAGCCACTGTTGATGGACCTCGGAATCAGGATGGGGGTGTGTGCGACTGAACCCTGGAAATGGCTGGGGCAGCCCAGGGTCACCTCTCATCCGGTTCCCATGCCCCCTGCTCCCAGTGGCCCTACTGCGAGAAGCGCTGTAGTTACTGCAACTTCAACAAGTACATCCCCCGTGGTGTGGACGAGGCTGCTCTGAGGCGCTGTCTGGTGACCGAGGCTCAGACGCTGCTGCGACTCAGCGGAGTGCGACAGTGGGTACTGCGGGCAGGGTCTTGGGAATTACGTAGGGCAGCAGAACAGGTTGCAGGCATCCTGGAGGGCTCCCCCACATTTTCATCTCCATTCTCTTTCCCTAGAGTGGAGTCTGTGTTCTTCGGTGGGGGTACCCCCAGTCTGGCCAGCCCCCAGACTGTGGCAGCTGTCCTGGAGGCGGTGGCCCAGGCAGCTCACTTGCCTGCAGACTCTGAAGTCACACTGGAGGCCAACCCCACTTCGGCCTCAGGCTCCAGGCTGGCAGCATTTGGGGCAGCAGGAGTCAACAGGTTGTCCATTGGCCTCCAGGTAACCCATCTCACCCACCTTATCCTGGGGCATCCAGGATGTCTCTCATCCAGTCACATTCATTCATAGGGCAAATATTTATGGAGCTCCTTCTGTGTGCAAGGGCCCTGGAAGCACTGAAAAATGTGTGGTGACACCTACTTGTCTGTTTCTATGCTAGACTACAAGCCCTAATAGGCAGGGATCGTGCTTGCCTTTTTGTTCATCACAGTATTACAAGCAGCCACTACAGTTCTTGGCACATAGTAGATGCTTGAAAGATTTACTACCTGACTGGAGACACAGGAGGAGGCAGACAGGTGGTCAGATCATTGCCGCATGATAAAGTCTGCTTGTGAATGGGGTCTCTACAAAAGGCTTTCAAGAGTATAGCCTGAAGGGCATGTCAGTCTGACAAAATCATGGAAACCTTCCTGGAGAAGGTGATGTTTGAATAAGGAAGAGGAGTCCATCAGAGGAGAGGGTGTTGGGGGTGGGGGAGACAGGATTTGGAAGAGCTTGCCTGTTTTGGGGGACCTTTGAGCCATTCCTTGTGACTGGAGAGGCTGGGGACAAAGTTGCAAGCTGGGGCCCAGAAGTCTTCGGCACCATACTAGGAAACCTGCGGTTTTGCCTAGTGGTGACAAGGGAGTCACTGAAGGGTTTTAAGTCGGAGAGAAACGTGTTCCTGTCAGGTTGGCCCTTGGTATTTCTATAGCCAGTATCCCCACCCCCACTCCACACACATCCATTTCAAGTACATGTACCGCTTACCAAAGAGTTTGGGGTCGGGGCTTTGTCATCATGGGACATATTGAAAGGGACACACCATTTCTTGAGATATTCGGGCCTCCAAATACTTACATATGTTGAATCTAATTGTGAGGAAACATCAGGACACCTAAGAGACTTCGTATGTGTGTGGATAAGAACAGATAACATGACATGCATCTACCCTCTTAACTTTTTAATGTACAGTACAGTATTGCTGGCTATAAACACAGTGATGTACAAGAGATCTCTAGGACTAATTAAGAGATTTTGGGGGTATTTTTTGGCCACAATGTGTGGTTTGCGGAGTCTTAGTTTTCTGACCAGGAATTTTGAACCTGGGCCCCTGTCAGTGAAAATGCTGAGTCCTAACCATTGGACTTGCCAGGGAATTCCCTAAGAGGCAGTTTTTAAAACAACTGACCGGTAAAAAAACGTCAGTATCATAAATAACAAAGGCAGGATGAGGATCTCAACTAAAGAAGACTAAAGAGACAGTGACAGCTGCCTGCAATGTGTGACCCCCTGATGGAATACTGAATTGGGGTGGGAAGAGGAAATTACTGCAACAGACATTTAGGGGACAATTGGCCAACTTTGAATGAGACTGTGTATTAGATAATGGGATTGTGTCCATGTTACATTTCCTGAACTTTGTAATTAGATTGTAGTTGTGTAAGGGAATGTCCTTATTCTTAAGAAATGTTTTTTACATTTAGATAACCATATTGCAAGTGCCTAATAGCCTGTGGGCAATGGCTACCATATTCTACTAAAATGTTCTGTATCTTCACTGACCAATATAGTTGCCACTGACCTCATGCTAGGTAACACTTAGAATGTGAGTATTTAAATTTAATTAACTTCTAAAATTTAAACAACTACATGTGGTTAGTATCTACTATGTTGGACAGTGCAGTTACAGAACATTTTCATCATCTCAAATGGTTCTTTTAGGCAGCATGGTCTATAACTTACTCTCAAAAAATTCAACATAATAATAATGTATGTGTATATTTAGAGAGGGGGCTTCTGAGGTGGTGCTAGTGGTAGAGAACTCGCCTGCCAATGCAGCATATGTAAGAGACACGAGTTTGATCCTTGGGTCAGGAAGATCCCCTGGAGGAGGGTATGGCAGCCCACTCCAGTATTCTCGCCTGGGGAATCTGATGGACAGAGGAGCCTGACTGGCTACGGTCCATAGTGTTGGAAAGACTAGGACACAACCGAAGCAACTTAGCACATATTTAGAGAGAGACAAAGCAAAAGTGGCAAAAATGTTAATTGCAACTCTTCTATAGGTTTGAAAATTTCAAAATAAAAAGTAAAATCAAAAAAAGATTGTTGGCTTTGCAGTCAGTCGTAATTTCCAGGTCTGACTTCACCATTGTTTGACCTTGAGCAAGCTACTTAATGAACTCCAGTTTTGTCATCTGTAAAATGGAGCTAGTGTTGGAGGGTTCTCGGGATAAATTAGATATTGCGTAAGAATGCTTTGCACATGGTAACCCTTTAGTGAACGGTACCCCTGCTGCTGGCTTGACCATCGCCTTCCAGCTCCCTGCCGTGTCCTGTGTTTCCCCCTGGATCTGTGTCTGCAGTTAGTCCAGTCAAGTGTTTCTGTCTCCCTCTGAGCCGGCCTGCGTGCTTATACTCCACCCTCTCTCTCCAGTCTCTCGATGACACGGAGCTCCAGCTGCTGGGGAGGACACACTCGGCCAGTGATGCTCTGCAGACCCTGGCGGAGGCCCAACGCCTCTTCCCAGGGCGTGTTTCTGTGGACCTGATGCTGGGGCTGCCAGCACAGCAGGTGGGGCCGTGGCTCAGGCAGCTGCAGGACCTGCTGCGCTGCTGTGATGACCACGTGTCCCTCTACCAGCTGTCCCTGGAGCGGGGCACCGCACTCTTCACCCAGGTGCAGCAGGGTGCCCTTCCTGCCCCGGACCCCGAACTAGCCGCTGAGATGTACCAGGAGGGACGGGCAGTCCTGCGGGAGGCTGGCTTTCGCCAGTATGAGGTCTCCAACTTTGCCCGGAATGTAAGTCCTAAAGCTGAAGGTGGGGCCTGGGCAGGCTAAGGCATGACAGGGCAGTTGTGGCCCTTTGGGGAGAAGGGTGCTTCCAAGGCCTGAGACAGTGGGGCATTGTAACCAGGTGCCTCTTACCTGAACTGGGATTGGTCCACCTACTTCTCTCTGCATTGACTGTTCCCTCCCTCCCGACAGGGGGCGCTTAGTACCCACAATTGGACTTACTGGCAGTGTGGTCAGTACCTTGGCGTTGGGCCTGGTGAGTCCTATGAACTACAGATGGGATGACTCAGGAGAGCAATGTCATGGCTGTGTGCTCTTGGGCCACTTAACCTCTCCAGCTCTCTGTTTCCTCATATGTAGAGTGTGGCAAAAAGTACTACCTACCTGGCAGAGCTCTTTAAGTATGTGTTTTGAGGTGCTTGGGATAGTATCTGGCACTGTGGTTCTTGATCTTTAGCATGCATCAGAATTACCTGGACTACTTGTTAAAACCCAACTGAACCCCAACCAAATTCTAGAATTTCTGGAATTAGACAGGGCCTGAGGATTTACATTTCTAGCATATGAAATGCTGTTGGTCCAGAGGCCGTGCTTTGAGAACCACTGACTTAGCATCTGGCAAGCACACAGTGTTAGCTGCTATTAACCTGTTTATGTTGTCAGGGGCCCATGGGCGATTTATACCCCAGGGGGCCGGGGGCCACACCCGAGAAGCTCGGATCCAGACCCTAGAGCCTGACAACTGGATGAAGGAGGTGACACTGTTTGGTCATGGCACCAGGAGGCGCATCCCACTGAGTGAGCTGGAGCTGTGAGCGCTTGAGGGCTCTTCACCCAGGCTCCCCCTGTACCCCAAGAACCACCCACCTACACATCTTTGTTTCCTGCCTTGCCCTTCCCCCAGCCTGTCCCATGCTGTGTGATCCTCATAAATCCTGCATACACTCATCCCAACTAGAGTTTGAACGATGGGAGAAGTATAAGTCTCTTCTCCAAGACCCCCTGTTGGTTTTTCTTTCAGGCTGGAGGAAGTTTTGGCCATGGGGCTACGCACAGACGTGGGCATCACTCACCAGGTAAGAGTCACTGTGTCTCACTCTCTCATCTATACACACACACACACCCTCCCATTCCTCTGGCACCGGCAGCTAGCGGTAGGGCCTTGGTCTAGCTGAGACCTGATGGGCAGGAGCACTGGGCAGCAAGGTGATGGTGAGAACCCTCAACCGGGGCTACAGAGACCTGGGCTCTAGTCCCCATCTACCGCAACCTTCTCAGCCATCTGACGGAATAGGCTAGATTAAGAATTTTCAAATGTTTTTAAAGCAGAGCTAAAAGCTCAGATAGTAAGTGCAATAAAGATCAGTGAAGCCCAGAACTGCTCTAGATGAAATCAGAGCCATAGAACCTGGACTTGTTGAGTTGCTAAGTCATGTCTGACTCTTTACAACCCCCAAGGACTGTAGCATGCCAGGCTCCTCTGTCCTCTATCTCCTGGAGTTTACTCAAATTCATGTCCACTGAGTTGGTGATGCTAGCTAACCAGCTCATCCTCTGCCACCCCCTTCATCTTTTGCCTTCAACCTTTTCCAGCATCAGGGTCTTTTCCAGTGAGAGCCCCAACTTGGGGTGGCCATACTCTGACCAGAACAGGGAGGGGAATGAGCAAAGGAAGACCTGGCTTGGCTGGGAGCCGGATTTGGCTTGGACATGGAATAGGAGTGAAGGTGCCCACCTCCCTGCTGATCCATTGACCTGGTCTTGGTGTACATGATAGTCAGTTTCTAAGATCTCTGTGCTGGACTGGAGCCACCCCTCACTACACCCCCAGGCACCCTACACCCTCACTACACCCTAGAATAGGTCCTGCCAACTCCCCACCTTGTGGTTCCCGCACCTCTGCCCCTTCTTGTTTTCCCAGCACTGGCAGCAGTTTGAGCCCCAACTGACCCTGTGGGACCTGTTTGGAGCCAGCAAGGAGGTGAAGGGGCTACAGGAGCAGGGCCTGTTGCTGCTGGATCACAGGTGTGTTGTGGGGCAGTGGTTAGGGGTCCCAGGGAATCCTGACTACACATCTACAGACCAGAGAAAGGTGAGAAAGATAGACAAGGAAGGGCCTCTGGTGCCAGGGCCTTGGCATTGGCAGAGGGTGAGGATTGAGACTAGTAAGAGGGGGCAGTCACAGCCAGGCCTCTTGTTGTTCCAGGGGTCTTCGGTGTTCCTGGGAGGGGCTGGCTGTGCTGGACTCTCTGTTGCTGTCCCTTCTGTCTCGGCTCCAAGAGGCCTGGCAGCAGAAAACCCCCTCTTCTGTGCCCAGAGGATAACCAGCAGAGGAGAGCCACATGTTTTGTAGCCAGGACTCTGCAGGTAGGCTTTGGGGGCTGGGATGACTGCAGACATCGTCACTGGCAGGTGCTGTCCTGGCTCTGATCACTGCCCAGCCCTGGCATCCCCAGGGGAATGGTTACAGTGAGGTAGATGGGAGGAATTTTCTGGCCTGGGGACTGGCGTCAAGTGCACCTACCACTGCCAGAGAAGCATTACTCCAAAGAAGGAGTAATGGTTTCTGTGGGTGCCTCTCATCAGTAGACTGTAAACAAATCCTGGTTGACAGAAGATTCTGAGAGATAGAGCTCTCAGGCTTCCTGCCCCAACAGGACAGGGCACAGGACATGTGTGTCCGGCACAGCAGCCTGCTGGACTCTGAGAAGAGTGGGAAAGAACAGGGCAAGACTTGCCTCATCTCTGGGCAACCAGGATATGCGTGGGTGTCAGGAGCCTCAGATCTTCCAGAGTGCCCCCCAGTCTTCTCCCTCCCCTCTGCAGCCTTTCCCTTGAAAGAGTGAAGATGGAGGGAGCTAAGAGGGAAAGGGTAGGGGAGAATTCAGGGAAGATCAGAGCCTGGTAATTCTCCCGTGGCCTTTTACCTGCAGAAATGGTCACCTGGTTTTATTTAAATAACCTCATAAGCCTATCTGGAGCCTGTCTTAACTGTGGTCCTCTCCTTTGCCTGGGCTTCAGTGGAGTGTGGGATCCTGATTTGGGGGCTTGAGGATCGGGTCTAGGGCTGAGATTCCTTCCTGAACCTCATCATTTGGCTGTGATCTTAGCTTTCATCGATTATCCTTGCCTAAACCAGTGGTTAGGTTGGAAGTTGCAAAATGTAGATTTCTGACTCTATCATTCCATCTATAGCCATTAACTGGCTTGCATCCGTAAAAAAAGGCTTCCCCTCCCCCCCCAAAAAAACCTTTCCCTTTCTTTTTTTAAGGGCAGATACTCTTAACCTAGTAATTCTATGCAGTGTGGGGGAGACTAGTGGAGAGGGAGGTATTTCCTGTGAAGAGGCAAGTAACTTATCATGTCAAAGGGTTCCCTGTTGCCAAAGGTAATTTAGTACCCTTGCAAATCAGGGCATGCGAAGCTCAGCCTCTAGCTGGGTGACTAAGAGTGGGGTTTCCCCACCCCTCAGAGGTGAGCACATGCATTTCCCTTGTGCCTAGTGGGTGTGAGTGTCAGTCTTTTTTTGACCTGTGGTAAACACGGTAAGTGTTACCACCTCTCCTTTGTTCATGAAATATTCAGCAAGCACTAACTGTGTGCCAGCACTGAGCAGAGAGGAGTAAGACCTATTCCAGCCCTCAAGGCACTCACCACCATGTTGACAGACATGTAAAGAGAGAAACTCCAGGGCTCTCAGTGAATGTGTATAGAGGGGCTGGGGAAGCCTGCAGCGCCTTGGGTTCTGAGGGACTGACAGCAGAAAAGGAGAAATGCCTTTTTCCTACTGCCTCCTCTGACCCCAGCATAGCTTGCGCGGTGACCTGTGTGTTCTGCCTTGGAGCCTCTTCTCGAGCCTTCCCCTGATCATGATATTCAAGACGTGGGCACGGGGCGGGGCAGGTGTGCCGTCAGATAACCTGGGCCCACTCAGGTTTCTCCCTGATGCCAGGGCTTGCGCCAGCTGAGATGCCTGGGCCCTCCCTGCTGGGGCCCGTTGTGAGGTCTGCAGAGGGGCTGGATGGGAGTCCAGTGGGGATGGCACAGATCGCCTTCTGTGATTCAGCCTCCCTCCTTCACCAGGTGAATCAGAGTCTCCAGAAGGTGGAGCCCAGGAATCTAGTTTTTAATCGTGGCGCTAGTAGTCAGGCCAGGTTGAGAAACCCCATCCTGTCCTGCCTTCCGTTCTGAGAGATGGGGATCCAGAGAAACAAGGGAAATGAGGCTAATTCTAGACATGGCCAAGTGGAGTGAGGTCTTTCCCTCTGTGTCCAGGGCTTCTTGGGATCATTCATCAGAGGGGTTCTCCTGCATGTGAAGGCTTCTGTTGTCAGTTTTCACCTGTCTTGTTGAAAGGCATATGGATACAAATAAGAAGGGTGAACAAACTACTCTGATGATGTGGTGATGAGAGGAGTTAGAGAAATGTGGTGTGTGTGAGAGTGTGGTTACAGCTTGAAGGACCGAACCTTCCCCACCTGGAGTGCTGCCAGTTTTAGGGCTGCCAGTGGAGCCACCCCAACCCTCACCCCATTCCCACCCACACCCTCATTGACGACCACGTAAAGTAAGCCGGACAGCTATTTTGATTTGCATTTTACATATGGGGACATTCGAAGAGGCCATCTAACTGGACTCAAGTCATATAAGCAGTCAGGTAACAGACCTGGCATAACACTTCTGGACATTTAGAACTTTCTGTCACATTGTTGTTTTATTCTTACCATGAGTTAGGTTGATTGACCTGTCTCTTAAATGAGCCAAAATCCTGACCCCTCTCTGGCCCCTCTGCCTCAGGCTTGAAGCTGCCACCTCTGCCTTGGTGTTTGGTCTCAATTTCTGTGTTTTCCCTCCTGGAGAACCCACATGTCCCATCTTCAAGAGACCATCCACTTCCTGGAAAGGAACTGCATTCTACAAAGAAAGGACTTTAAGTAATAGGATTGCTGTAAACTGAATGTTTGTGTTCCTCCCAGAATCCATGTGTGGAAACTTCATCCCTGGAGGCATGGTCTTCAGGGGCGGTGCTTTGGGAGGTAATTAGGTCACCAGGATAAAGCCCTCATGAAGGGGATTAATGTGCTTGTGAAAGAGAGCTCCCTGGCCTCTTCCACCATGTGATGACATGGAGGGAAGACAGATGGCTATGTACCAGGAATCGAGCCCTCACCAAATCTCCTGGCACCTTGATCTTGGACTTCCCAGCCTTCAGAACTGTGAGAAATAAACGTTTGTTGTTTAAGCCACCCAAGCTATGGTATTTTTGTTTTAGCGGCCTGAATGTGTTAAGACAAGGATGAAATAACTTACGTGGTAACTTGTTTTATTGTTCAAAATGTTTACCAGTGTATATTCCTGCTCTGTTGAACCTGGGAAGGGCCAGGAGACTTGCCCAACACAGATTGTAAAAGCCAGTGAGTGGTGGTCCACCATCTCCTCCTTCATTTGCAGGAAGGGGGACCCCTTCCAGGGCCCGAAACTGGGCTCTCATCTAACACTCAGAAATGAATTGTCCGAGGAGAGACATATGCTGACAAAGCAAGAGGTTTTATTGGGAAAGGGCGCAGTGGCTCGCAGTCTTGGGGTTTGTGGTGATAGGATTAGTTTCCGGGTTGTCTTTAGCCAGTCATTCTGACTCAGAGTCCTTCCTGGTAGTGCATGCCTTTTTTCAGCCAAGATGGATGCTAGTGAGGAGGATTCTGGGAGGTGGTCAGACATGTGGTGTCTCTTTTCGACCTTTCCTGAACTCTTCCAGTTGGTGGTGGCTTATTAGTTCCATGGTCCTTACCAGGACCTCCTGTCATAAAATAACTCATGCAAGTGGTTACTATGATGCCTGGCCAGGCTGGGCGGTTTCAGTCAGTGTGCTTCCCCTAACACTTCCATCACAGAGACCTGCAGTGTTAAAACAGAGGCCCTTTCATTCACCTGGGTTCTAGAGTGGAGAAGATGTTGGGCAGGGCAGTGGCCAGCCACAGCAAATAGGAGCAGGAGGGGGTGGTAACACTCACTGTTACAAACCAGTAGCCTCAGGGTTGCTTATTACAGTTGGATGATACTGCTCAATTCCATTTGTAATCCCGCCATTCAGAGGTTAACTACTTTTAGATCTTGGTGTGTAGCTTAGCAGAAATTCTTATATGCAAATGAACATCTTTAGATAAAGTCTTACGAAAAGGGGATAATATGCATCTTGCTTTCATTGCCTTCTTATTCTCCCTCAGATGTGGTGGGCATTTTGTCATGTCAAATTCATATCTACATCCTAATTTTTTAGTGTAGCTTCATAGTGTACCACTGCATTGTTATCCCAAAATTTAGTTTACCAATTCCTTTTTGGTAAAGCAGAAGGTTTACTTTTTTATTTTTATAAACTCTGTAATGAATATATTGTGTACATATTTTTATACACTGGCTCAATCGTTTCCTTACATTTAGGCCAAATCCCAAGGAGTGTGATTCCGAGGAGATTTGCATCCTTCATTTGAATACACAGTGCCAAACCGCACTCCAGGAGGCCTGGCAGTTCACGCCCTTGCCAGCTCACTGGTCGTCAATAGCAAGCATGATCAGTTTTGCCAGAGGATTCCAGTCTGGAGAGCACTATTAATTCTCACTTTAGTATCAGCTAAGGTACTGTCTCCCTAACTCAGGCAACTGTTTTGTTCCACCTGATCACTTAGAGGGGAGGCTGCCTCTGGGGCCACCCAGGTAGATGACCTGACTGAAACTGTGCCCATGTGTTCAGATTGCCTCTGAACTCCTCATCCAGGCCCCACTTCTGGGAGAATCATCTTCTCCATCCTCTCTTCTTCTTCCTGCTTTCCTTTATTTTCCCTGAGGGGATTTTTGAAGCCAATTAAAAAAAAAAATTTTTTTTTTCTTGGCCCATGCTTCATGGCATGTGGACTCTTAGTTCCCTGACTAGGGATTGAACCTGCACCCCTGTATTGGAAGCGCAGGGTCTTAACCACTGGATCGCCAGGGAAGTCCCAAAGCCAATTTTAAAAATTATACAAAGAATGTTATAGAAACATTAGTCAGAATTTTAAGTGAAAAAAAAAGTCTACAGTCAGTGATCCCGAAAAACTCAACTGTGTTTGTGTTCTCTTCCCATCCTCATTCAAATGCATGCAAGACTTTTGCCTAGTTGTGCTCCTGACACAGACCTCATTTTGCATTCTGCTCCTTTTTCTTCTCAGTCTGTCATGAGCATTTTTCCATACTGTTACATGGTCATCATCTTACTCATTTTAATTGTTGCACAGTGTTCCAGTAAGTAAATAATTGTAGTAAGTATTACCCTAATATGTCATTTAAGTGGTTCCCCATTTTTCTCTGTTACAAATCATATGGTAGTACATGGTTTTATGGATATAGCTTCTTCCTGCATTTGAATTATTTCCTCAGATCAATTCCCAAGAGTGATTGGGTCAAAGGGTATGGATGCTTTAATGATTCTTGGTATGAGTTGTTATAATTGTTTTCCAAGGGATTTTTCTTTTTTAGAAATTTTCCTGCTCAAAAAATAATAACGGTTTTTTTCAACCAGATAGAAGAAAGCAAAACTTCTACTATCTAGGAATTACCACTACAACATTTGGCCAACCATCCCTCCAGACATCTCTTGATATACATATCTATGTAGAAATAAAAATAATTTTTCACAAAAGGGATCCTACTCATGTGCCAGCTTTGCAACCTGTTTCTTTTCCTCAACAATATGTCCTAGGTTTTTCTGGTTGGTTCTGCCATAATGTGATAGCATAATGTAGTACAGTAATAGCTGTAAGCCAGGCATGGTGCAAGACTTTTATCTGCATTAATACCTTTAAGCACCACAACAACCCAGTGAGATAAATTTTGTTATTATCATGCCCACTTTACAGATGGGCAGACAGGCTCAGACAAATTGACTGCCCCGGGTCACATCACTAGTAGGTGATAGGCAAGCTGAGTTTACTGAGGCTCCAGAACAGATACTTATATACATAATACATGAATATATTCTAAATGTAAAATGGTAATAATAATAAATGTAAGCATTACCATAGTATAGTCACCTTTACACTTATACAGAGATTTGATACACATATCAGATAAGTTTAGGTTCAACTGCACATGACAGAAAATCAAAATAACATAAGCTTAAGCTTGTCTTCTTCCACATGGAAGACGTCTGGACAAAGCGTTTCAGGGCTAGCCTAGTGGGCCCATGGTTGTTGGTCACAAAGAACACAGGCTTCTAACTCTGTGCACTGTATCCTCATTTCATAGCATCCATCCCTAAGGTCTCCACATGGTCTAATGTGGTCCCTGGAGCTCCAGCCATCATATCCGCATTCCAGGTAGGAAGCATGTTACTGCTTCCTCACCATTCCCCATAATAGAAGGGCTTGGTTAATTTTAAAGAAGGGAGGGTGGTGGTAAAAATAGATATTAAGAGGCAATTAGAAAACAACTCTTTCCAAGTCCTATTTTATTTACATAGGTATATACATATATACAAATACAGTTTAAAAAATAGTCTAATGTATCATAATGCTACCTTGTTTCAATTTACATTTTAAACTTTTCCAGCCAGATCGAATGTTCTCCATTCAGTATTTGTTTTTAAACAAATATGTTAGTTATACTAGGTCTTAGCTGTGGCATGTGACAAGGGATCAAACTTGAGGCCCCTGCATTTGGAGTGCAGAGTCTTAGTTACTGGACCACCAGGGAATTCCCTCCATTTAATATTTGTTTACTAACTATTGTGTTCTGTGCACATTTAAGCTCTTTGCTTATTTCTATTTAGCCAGGTACTTATTTAGCCTTGATGATTTCCTGATCAAGTTGAATGAAATATTTACATAGATAAATAATTACAAGTATATTAACTCTGTCATATTTGCTGCAAGCATTACTTCCAGCATGTTGTCCTTTTTATCTTTCATAGATTTTACTTTTTGGAAAGTGAGTTTTCTAGAAATTTCAAATATTTCTATATCGAGTCTATCTTCTGCCCTGTGACTTTTTCTGTCAGTTCCAAGCTCCAGAGATATGGTCAACTTTCAAGTTGGCTTTCTCCTCCCAGGAGAGCCATCTATTGTTGAGGGTGTGTCTTCTGGGACCAAATCTCTACTGTTCCGCTTCTTACCTGTAAGACTTCTCTCAAGTGAGATTGGTTTTCTTGACTGTTTAATGAAGGGATTGGACCAGCAAGAATTCCTGATTGCTGACAAGACAGAAGGAATACCTGTCATTTCTTTGTGATGCTGAAACCTGTCAGTAGGTAGCCCTGGGTTTCTGGAAAATCCCCCCGGCCCAGTGTAGAACTTGCTGCCTTTCAGGTGGATGTGGGCCACAGGGCAAACTGACAGCCTCCAGGCAGTGTGACCAAGCAGAAGGGAGGTCCCTCATTAGGTGATTCCTCAGACCAGTGCTCCTTGCCTCCCCCAGCAGGTCAGTCAGGAATGGCCCCATTCCTCAGGTGGCTATCTATGCAGGCGGGGCTGCCCCTACTTGCCTCTCAGACTCTGACACCTGGGAGACACTTCCACCAGAGCATCCCTTTCCTTTGCCCCTACCTCTGGATTAGGTCTCTCCTGGTGCCCATTGCTCACCCCTCCGAGACCTTGGGTCTCCTTAGCTCCATTCCTGCTGTCCCTGACTCAGCATGGGACTTCCCCCTGCCCTTGGACCTGACCAGCTTACACAGGCCTCACTTTCTTGGCTGGCCTTTCTTACTTTGATTAGGACCAAAGTGAGGGGCCAGATCCCCTGTCTGAGGCCTTGGCAGCCCTGATGGAGGGCAAGGTGGGCAGGGCCTGGGCTCACGGAGGCTGCTTCACAGCACTGGGGAAGCTGCCTTGGACATGCCCCCGCCTGAGGACCCCTCCTCTCGCACTTACCCTTCAGATTAACTCCTGAACAATAAAAGATGAACTATGAAAACTGTCAGCCTGGCTAGCCTAATCTTGAACAAGTCTGATGGTCCAAGAAGAATTTAAGGATCCTCTTCCTCAAACGGAGATTGAGCAGAGGAGTGGTGAGGTTTTCCCGCTTGGGGACCTGGAGCATGAATGCATGTGTTCAGCTCTGCCGCCTGTTTGTTAGCTGCTTGATCTCAGGTAAAGTACTTCCCTCTTCTGTAACCTAATTTCTTCATCTGTAAAATGGGAGTGCTAATAATATTCTCTACCTCACTTGGTTTTTGTAAACTTTCAAGAAGTTAGGAACACATAGCTGAAACAACCAAAGG